TCTAAGCGGGGCGCGCGCGCGGTCGACGGGACCAGCGGGGCCGAAAAAAAAAAAAAAGGAGAAGCGCGCGAGGGCGCTAGGGGGAGGCGCTAAGGCGCGCTCCGACAGTAGGGCGCACGAGGGCGCTAGTAGAGAGTAAGTAGCGATGGGCCCATGTCAGAATGACTGAGCAGGAATGAATGAACTAACAGGAAGTTTGGTACAAATAGGAAACCCTAGTTTGAGTACCCCCTAAGGTGTAACCCACTACAGCCTACACAATATAAACATACAATGTTTGACAGGTTCAGATTGTATCAAACCCTAAATTACCAAGTCGTGGGTTACGAGCTTACTCCAACGAAGAATTCATTTTGGATGGTTTTCGATGCACCGAACATTTGTTGTAACATTGTGGGCATTCGTGTGATCATGCGCCAGTCTCGAGTTATCAAACACGTTAAGCGAGTTACCAAATGCGTGAATACACCATGAAATGGTTACCGTGCGCGTTATAGTGCCCTATATAAATGAACATTCACATATTTTCCCAATTTTGTAAGCAGTCAAAAATACGAATCTTCCTTCGAGTACACTTCTGGAGAAGAGAGGACGTGGCATCGTTGTTTTCTCGCAGTAGCGTTCTTGACCGAATCAATCCTCCAATCATGAGCTGTGACGTACTTTGTGGCGGACGGTGCTGTTACACGCCGAACCTAGCTCCCTTCGTCCTTTCATATTCGCAATACGTTGCTGCCTCGTCACGATAAATGGGCGATTCCCCAAGTTCGTTCGTCGTGAACCTTGGTGTTGTTGCCGTCACAAACCCTCGAACCCTTCCGAAATTCAAGTTTAGTCAAAGATTTACCCTATCATATTTGTGACAGTGACATCCGCTTCACCGTGATGAGTGATTTGTTCGCTCTCCCTGGCCTACCTCAAATCAAGTTCCTCAGGCGGAGTTGAAACACAGTGACTGGATTTCTTCCAGCACGTCAGATCAGCGGAAAAGGGCCAAAACAAGGAGCTCACAAGACGTATATAAAATTCTTTGAAGTAAATGAGCAGGGTCAATGCCTTGAGAACTCGAGCTATGCTGTATTTCGTAAGTGCTCGGACCTGGTTACAGGAGCAGTTTTTGAGGGGCTAAAGTTTCAAACATTTCTAACATAGGTTCATCCTTGGTAAATCACCCTGTTTATCGTCACTCTCTAAGGGTACGTTCCTGGCCTAACTCTCCCCTCTACACCACCCCTTCAACCACTTGCCTCACACACCATTTGCTGGAAGGTTTGGGATGGCGATTGTTGCGTGGCTTTCGTTGCAAGGCAAGAAACCTTCATAATCATGCCTTCTGCAAAGCGCTCGTGCCCGCTCCTCTCGCGGCATTGCCTTGACTTAGTAACGATAGCCTCATAGCTCCTAGCATCGTTAAGAACTTGGCGATAGACGCTTCCGTTCTCTCGGCACGCCGGCTGTTTTCACTGCCGTCGCTGATCATTCGCTCTTGCGTGCTAGGTCGACTTTACGCTCGTTGGCTCCGGCCATCCCGTCAATACCGTTCGCCGCACGCTAGACCATGCAACCTTGAAATCGCGAAATGCTCATCGTCGAGTCTTCATACGTCGTATGCGCGATCGCCGTAACGTAACAGCTCCACCTTTCCGCCGCATTGAACTTATCGCTATCCACCCGGCACGACCTCATACTCCCGCATCACTGACGCGGATAGCAGTCGAGCGAAGGGTATAGGCGCGGTCGATAGTTTCCAGGGGATCGGGTCCACATTGTCGTCTAGCGTTCGCGAGCAGGATTGGCATTCGAAGGTACATACCGAGCCGCGCATTCTCGGCAGACCTGGAGCACGATGAAGCGCGGCTGCGGGTAGCCGCCAGTCGCGATTGGTAGAGGCGAACCGTCGATTCTTGAAGTCGTGATCCGTAGAGTTTCCGCCCCTGCGAGCAGCCGTTCCTAGTTCGGCCATGGTGAGTGATCCGCGGAACATCCAGTGGTGTTCAATGATTGTGTGTTGGACATTGAATGGTGTTCTGTGGGTTATCCATCGGTGAATTGTGAACATCAATGTTGAACGGTGTAGCACCGCAAGACGACGAGGCGCGGCCGGGTGAACATGCAACGTGCCGTGTGCGGCGATCTGTCCGTGACCGTCGATTTGTGTCCCCGCGACGATCGCGCGGTGGCCGTTCGCCGGCCGTCAATTCCGTGAAATCAACAGACTTGAAATCGAAGCGGCGGGTAGCGGCGCGCTCGCGCCTGCGACGAACGTGTGCCGGCCGACGTTGGAGTCACTTTTGAGAATTCTCCAACGTGATTCGCAAACGCCCGACGTGCTCCTCTTCTCGCTCTTGCCGCTGCTGCTCCGCCGCGCCATCAGCAGCAGCCGCGCGCAACCCTTTGCGATAGACCCCAAGTAACGTGTGACGCAGCTCATGCGTGGCGCGTGGGGCGTCTCTAATTGTCTCGCGCCGTGCCACATTGATGCTTCCCCCTCTGCCACCTTCCCCGACCCACCTCCGCGCCCACCTCCTGGCGGAGGAAGGAGGGCGGAGAGCTTTTTCGCTTTCCGCCCTCTTCCTCCCCCTGCCTAGCGGATGGCGGTGCGATCCGGCGCCATGGATCGTCCGTATCGTTGCTCGCTGCCCGATTTCCTCATGCGCTACCCACCTTTTCCTTGCGCTACCCCCGTTTTTGCACTAACACCCCATTTTCTAAGTTGCGCTACCCCCAGTTTCCCTTGCGCTATTCCCTTTTCCCTTGCGCTACCCACTTTTGAATGCGTGCGTGCTACCCATGCTTCCCCTGCCCATTCTGGCGTCCCGCGTGCTTCCCGCCTTCTCACCGCGCGATCTGCCGCCGCCGTCGCGCTTCCTGCCAGCCACCCCTCTCCCCCACGCCCCCCCTTCCCCCCTCCCTTCCCCCCTCTTCCCCCCCCCGCCTCCTTCTCCCCCACAATTTCTCTCCTTCTCCCTTGTCCCGTTGCTTCCCCCACTCCTGCTCCCCCTCCCCCGTCCCACCCCAGGGCTCGCAGCAGCACGTGGGGTTCACGGGGGGTGGGGGGGGGCGAAGGCCAAGGTGTGCCAGTCTGATGCGAGTGCGCCCATCCTCTCTGGCCCCTTCCCTTGTCTTGCTCTTTCCTGCCGTCCTGCCGTTCTCCCCCATCTCCCCTCCCCCACCCCCCTTCAGGGCTCGCAGCAGCAAGAACGCCGGCAATCTCTTGTTGCCAAAATGTGCGCGCCCATCCAGTTCGCCCCCTCCCCTTGTCTTGCTGCTTCCATCCGGTTTCGCCTGACAATCTCTCACCCGTTGCCTCACCCTGCCCGCGTCTGCCTCTCCCTGGGCGTGCAGGGTTCACAGCACAGCAGCACCTAGGATTCACGGTGGGCTTCATCTTGAGGGCGCCCCACGCAGTGCACACGCCATCCGTTCTCCATTCGCCTCCTGCCCTCTTCCCCTGTCCTGTCCCGTCCCATCTCCCTCTCTTTCTCCAGGGCTCACAGCAGCACCTGTTCACGGTGGGGTCGAAGGTGTGGGTGCCAGACGCAGCGAACCCATCCAGTCCCCCGCCCCACCTCCCTCCCTCTCTCCTCCTTCCCCCAGGGCTCGCAGCAGCACCTGTTCACGGTGGGGTCCAAGGTGTGGGTGCCAGACGCAGCGGATGCATGGGAGGAGGGCGAGGTGGTGGCGAGGGACCGCGGCAGCAGCCAGCTCACCGTCGCGCTGGGCACAGGCGGCAAGGGCCAGGCGAGTACGAGAGCGGGGGGACGGGGGAGAGGGGAATTTGCAGGTAGGTAGGGGGAAGGTGTTGTGTGTGGGACAATATCTAGGTTTAGGCTGTAGGGAAGAGAGGGGCGCGCAGCTCACTGTGGCGCTGGGCTCAGGTGGCAAGGGCCAGGCGAGTACGAGAGCGGGGGAATGGAGGAGAGGTGAATTTGGAGGTAGGTAGGGGGAAGGAGTTGTGGTGTGGGTGGGACAATAGCCAGCTGTAGGCTGTATGGAAGGGAGGGGCGCGCAGCTTACTGTGGCGCTGGGCACAGGCAGCAAGGGCCAGGCGAGTACGAGATGAGGCACGGGGAAGGGGAGGGTTGGGACAGCAAGCGTGTGGAAGGGGCAGGGGGCAGGCAGGTGAGTCGCTGTGAGGCTGGACGGATGCTGCAAGGGAGAGGCGAGTACGACAAGGGGAGCAGGCAGCTCAAGTCAGGTCAGGGCGTGCGGTGCCAATTATTCAGAGTTAAGTGAGAGGAGCAAGGTGACACACAACACACTAGCAGTCTGGGAGGAGGAGGAAGGGCAGTGGAGTGATTAGCTGGCTCACTGTGGGGCTGGGTGGAGGTGACAAGGGACGGCGGTCTGAGATGGGGAGCAAGGGAGGTGGTTGGCAGGGGCAGCACGAGACATGTGAATGGCATAGAGGGGTTTCCTCAGGGGAAGAATTGGCAGTGGCTGCATGGGAGGAAAAGGGGGGCGAGTAGGTGACTGACAGTGAGGCTGGTGGAGGGGGGAGAGCAGGGGAGTGGTGAAGAGCAGGTGGGGGAGCTGTGTTGACTCTGCAACTCACATATTTCATTGGTTAACACAGCTTTACCCTCTTCGATACGACAATGAACCTGTCCCCATACAGTCTCCTACTCCATGCCTTGTCCCCAAACCCCATGTCATGTTCCCATCCCATGCGTCATTTCCACCCCGGTCCATATCCCCCTTACTAGCCATATCCCATGCCATGTTTCGTACATGTTTATCCTCACTCCCCACATCCCCATACACCCTCTCCTACCTACCTGCCATACCCATAACCCCTCTACCTCAGTCCAGACCCCCATGCCCAGAACCTCGCACATAATTTCCGGAGTTTATTGTACCCCTCGATTCCTTACTCCGTTGTATCATATCCCCATACTTGATATCACCATACCTCATACCATCATAACCCCAATAACACCATACCAAATGTTCCTATACCGTTATTAACCATACCCAAATTCCTCTATCCCCCTAACGCCATGCGGCACCCCTCTTTGTCCCTCCTCTGCGTGTCAAGGCTAGTGCCCACAGTGGCAAGCAGATGCCCAAAAAGCACTGCCTTGTTCTACAGCATTGCTCTCGCCCGCACCCACCCATCCTGTCTCTCTCGTGCACCTCGCATCCCGTGCAAGGACCAAGTCAGGCCCCCATAAGTCTTATAAGAGTCACGAGATGGATAGAGGAGATCAGCTTCAGCAACAGTGGTGGGGAGGGGGTAACCCACGTGTCACGCTTCTCTACACAGCTCCCTCACATGCCATCCTCCGTCCCCGCACCTCACCTCACCACTCCCCTCCCTTTCCCTGCCCTTGTGTGTGCCATGTCCCCCGCAGGTGGTGGTGGGCGAGGGCGAGTGCTATGCGCGCGAGGAGGAGAGCGCGGTGGTGGACGACATGGTCAAGCTCGCCTACCTGCACGAGCCGGGCGTGCTGCACAACCTCATGCAGCGCTACCAGCGTAACCTCATCTACGTGGGTCTCTGAGGGGTGGAGATGGATTAGAAGGAGTGGGAAGGGGTTGAGGGGGCGAGGAGGAGGGGAAAGAGTGGGGACATGTGTTGTAGTTCTGAAAAGCCCGCCCACCGGGCGTGCTGCACAGCCTCATGCAGCACTACCAGCCGAACCTCATCGATGTGGGTTTCTGAGAGAAGGGAATGGGCAGGCCTGTACATGCGTTGGGATAATTGCAAGGTAAATATGCTTCGATTGGCGCATGCATCACCCGGGCGTGCTGCACAACCTCATGCAGCGCTCTCACCGCAACTTTATCTACGTGCGTCTTCGTGTGGGAGGGAAGGTGGGGAGGAAGAGGGAAAGGGGGGTTGGGAGGTAGGGGGGGTGTTAGGAGGCGAGAGCAAGGCAGGTATTTACCTATGTTGACGGTATCTAGGAGGAGTATGAATGGCACATCACATGCATGCACGAGTCAGGCAGGCGAGCCACACATCACTGCTAGTTGCCCTGCGTTCTGGCATCAGGAGCACCGTGTGGCATCACACATGCACACATAAACCCATTTCTGCTCTTTTCGCCTTGTCTCCCCTCCTTTTCTTGTTTCCCCCCCAATATAGTTTCTCGCATGCCCAACCCCCAACCCCCTCCCCTCCCTTCCGCCTCTATCCCCTCCTCCTCTTCCCCAGACGTACACGGGCAGCATCCTGATAGCAGCCAACCCCTTCATGCGCCTGCCGGGCATCTACGATCGGGACATGCGTGATGCCTACCGCGGCCAGCCACTGGGCGAGCTCAGCCCGCACGTGTTCGCCATTGCTGATAACGCCTACAGGTGCGGGTGGGGGTGGGGGTGGGGTGGTGGGGGTGGGGGTGGGGTGTGGCGCAAGTGAGGTGAGCTTCGGTTTGAATCAAGAGGGACATGCGCGATGCCTACCGCGGCCAGCCGCTGGGCGAGCTCAGCCCCCATGTGTTCGCCATCGCTGATAACGCCTACATGTCGGTGGGCTGGGGGTGTGTGTGGTGCTGGCAATGGGTGCAGGTGGGGGTGGGTGGGGGTGTGGACCACACCGTGTGGTGATGCCGGCCGTGCGTACAGGTGGGGGGACTGGGGGTGTGTGGTGTAGTTTGAGTTCTATGTTACCTCTAGAGTGAGGGACATGCGTGTTACTGGGCGAGCTGAGCCCCCATGTGTTCGCCATCGCTGATGACGCTTAAAGGTGAGGGTGGGGGTGTGGTGGGTGTGGTGTGGTGTGAGGTGACTGTAGGGTCGGCTCAATAGGGACATGCGTGGTGCCTACTGGGGCCAGCCACTGGGTGAGCTGAGTGAGCCCTTACGTCTTCGCCATCTCTGATGGTGCTAGCTTGGCAGAGGTGGGGGTCGGAACGTAGTGCTAGCCAGTTGGCAATTCAGATAGCTTGCCAAGCATGTGAGCCCTCAGGTGAATCCTCAGGTTCCATGCACATACCCTCAAAAGTTGGGCCCAAGGAAAGTGGAGTGTGAGATGAGATGAGGGACATGTGTGAAGACTTCCCAGCCGAGCACATGAGCAAGCTCAGACTCCTTATGCCCCCTCCCCCTATGTCCGCCCCCCTATCTCCGCCCTCCCCATCTCCCCTCCGCCCCCCTCGCTCTTTCCCCCTCATGCCCCTCTCGACCTTATGTAATCCCTCAACGGAGCGCAGAGCGATGCGGGAGGAGCGGCGCAGCCAGTCGATTCTGATCAGCGGGGAGAGCGGGGCGGGCAAGACGGAGACAACGAAGCTGGTGATGGAGTACCTGGCGTCCGTGGGGGGGCGCGCTGACAGCGACGGGGAGAGGAGCATCGAGAACCAAGTGCTGGAGGTGAGAACCAAGTCCTGGAGGTGAGCGAGAGGGGGGACGGGCTTTCAAGAATCTTGGGGCGAGACTTCAGAGGGGGGAGGAGGGGCAGGGCTGTGGAAACAGGAGGGGTGGGGGTGGGTGGGGGGAGTGGAGATAAAGGGGGAGAAAGGGGTGAGGACGGGCTGGGATGCAGGGCAGCGGGCAAGTTGGAGGCAAGGCAGCGAAGCTGCTGATGGAGGCCGTGGGGGGCCGTGCGGACAGTGATGGAAAGCGCAGCACTGGTACCCAAGTGCTGGTGGTGAGATGGGGGCGGGACTACGACGTTCCTGAAATGAGGTGAGAGGGGCACTGAGAAGCAATCAAGCAAATGGTGGAGGTGTTAAGGGGGAGGGGGGGAGGATTCGTGGGAGAGGCAGTGGCAGAAAGAAGCAGAGACAGGAGCAGAGGCAAGCAGAGAGCAAGGCAGGGGCAGACAGGAAGAGGAAAGTGAGTGACGTGCCAGTAGGCAACGGCTGGAGGCAGATTAGTGGCGTGGCAACGACAATGATGAAGTCACGAGGTGCAGCGCAAGACAGGCATGCGAGGCAAGAGGGCTGAGACGGGCGAGGTTGTGTGAGGCAGATTGGAATGTTGCAGCACTTTGTCTTATTCCACCACGATGCCATTCTTCTCCTTGCCTGCCCTTCTCTTCGCTTCTTGATTCAGAATTTGAAACCCACTCCCACTCCCTACTCCAATGTTCCACTCCTTCCCAACATTGGAACAGTTCTCTTTTGTTCTTCCGCTCCCATCCCCCCTTCCCCTCCCTCTCACGCTCTTCTAATCTTCCTGCAATTGCCCCGCAACAGTCCAACCCTCTGCTGGAAGCGTTTGGGAATGCCAAGACTGTGCGCAATGACAACTCCAGGTGGGACGTGGTGCAGGGAGATGTACAGGAGGGAAATGAGTGCAGGGGGACGAGTAAAGGGGGATGAGTTCCAGGGGGAAGAAGATATGGGGGAAGAGTGCGAGGTGGCAGGTGTGTGGTGTGGCGATGTATGTATCCAGTCCAGGCAGTGGGGGATTCACTTCACTTTCACCTCACGTTGAGCCTTTGAGCACAAGTAGATGCATGTCGTCCTTCTCCTTCCTTCCGTACCTTGGCCCCGCATCATTCACCCTCCTTCATCCACTGCACTGCCCCTGCCTTCCTTGCCCCTGCCGCCCTGCCTGTGTCGTCCACCCTCTCCCTCACACCACCCTGTGTGCTGGCTGGGCGCCAGTCGCTTTGGCAAGGACATAGACATCCACTTTGCCCAGCGCGGCCACATCGAGCATTCACGGCACCCTTCTTTTCCCTTCCGTTCCTTCCTTTCCCCGCCGTCCTCTGCCCCCCACCCGTGCCACCAGTCCCGTCAGCAAGTTAATAGAGATTCAGTTTGATGAGCGAGGCCGTATGTCATCAGTCGAGCACTCACAGCACCCTTATTCTCCCTTCCCTGCCTTCCTCTGCCACCCACATGTGCTACCAGTCGTTTTGGCAAGTTCATAGAGATCCAGTTTGACGAGCGGGGCCGTGTGTCAGGGGCAGCCATCCGGTCGTACCTGTTGGAGCGGTCGAGAGTCGTGCAGATCGCCGACCCCGAGAGGAACTACCACTGCTTCTACCAGCTCTGTGATGGGGCCAGCCCTGAGGTCAGTCGCAGGCCGCCTCTGCTGCTCAGGTCGCGGCTCTCTTCGCTTCTCTCTCACCTTCCCCGGTCGTTTATCCCTTGTTCTTGTAATTGTCCCCCCCCCCTTTCTTTTTGTAATTACCCCTCCCTGCTGCACCCCTCCTTCCTGCACCCCTCCCTGCCATACTCCTCGCTGTTCCCCGGGCCCCAACAGCATGCAGAAATTCCACTCTACCAGAGCCGCCGCTTCAATCTCGGTTGTCCCTGCTGTCCCTAGCTCCCTCACTCTCCCAACTTGCTCTATCTCTTCTCTCCATGCCATGTGCTGGCAGGAGGCGGAGCTGCTGAAGTTGCCCCCGGGCCCCAACAGGGCGCATCACTTCCACTACCTCAGCCGGACCCGCTGCTTCGATCCCTGCTGTTCCTCACTACCTTAACCTTGCAACGTGCCCTATCTCTCTCTCTTGCATGCACTGGCAGGAGGCGGAGCTCCTAAAGCTCCCACCCGGCCCCAACAGGGCGCAGCACTTCCACTACCTGAACCAGAGCCGGTGCTTCGAGCTGCAGGGCAAGTCCAGCAACGCCGAGGAGTATGGCAAGACCCGCAGTGCCATGCGCGTCATTGGCATCTCCGACGACGAGCAGGTGTGTGGGCGTGTGCTTGTGTGTGTGCTTGTGAGTATGTATGTGTGTGTGTATGTGTGTGTGTGTGTGTGTGTGTGTGTGTGTGTGTGTGTGCGTGTGCGTGCGCGCGCGCGCGCGAGTTTTGTTACGTGGAGCGTGACAGACACCCACCCACCAGTGGAGTAGAAAGAATGAGGACAATTTCCCCCATTCCCCTCCCTACCACCTGTCCATCCTGCGCTGCGCTTACGAGCAGCGGTGCTCCATCTGGGCAACGTGGAGTTCAGGAAGAAGAGCGACTACCCCCCTCCCCCTCCCAACCCGAAACCCTGACCTTAAACCCTGAAACCCGTCGTTAAACCCTATCCCTGCTTGGTGTTGCATCTGGGCAAGGTGGAGTGCAGGGAGAAGGGTGACAAGCTACTTCCCTCCCTCCTTGCTGCCCCCACCACCCAGTCCCCACTCACCCCTCCCCTCACTCCCTTGCTCGCCGCCCACTCCATCCTCCCACCAGCTATCCATCTTGCGCCTACTCGCGGCAGTGCTGCATTTGGAAAACGTTAAGTTCAGGGAGAAGGGCAACACTGCTCCCTCCCTTCCTGTCCCCTAATCTCCCCCTTTCCGTCCGTCAGATGTCCATCCTGCGCCTACTAGCAGCGGTGCTGCATCTGGGAAACGTGGAGTTCAGGGAGAAGGGCGACAAGCTGCGCATCGCCAAGCACGCCGAATCCTCCCTCGACACCGTCGCCTCGCTCCTCTCGTACGTCTCTCCCCCCCACCCCACCCCACCACCATCCCTCTCAAACGCACCTCGGACGGTTACCATCTTCTCCAAATCCCTCACTCTTGCCATAGAAAGCTCCAAAGATTACTGTGCACGGTGAAGTGCAAGGTGGGGCTGCTGTCGCCTCTCAGTTGGCACCACACCACACCACACCACACCACACCTCAAAAGTCAACTCACACATGCACGCGCTCTTGTCTATTGTGCGACCCTCAGGTGCGACAACAAGAGGCTGCAGGACTCGCTGTGCACGGGTGAAGCGCAAGGTTGCTCTCAAAACCCCTCACCCCACTCCACGTCTCGCCCCTTCAATCGCTTCCTCCCTTCTCCCCGTCTTGCCGTGTCCCCTGCAGGTGCGACCGCAAGAAGCTGCAGGACTCGCTGTGCACGGTGAAGCGCAAGGTGGGGGGGGAGACGATCAAGAGCGCTCTCGACGTCAAGGCTGCCACTGTCAGGCGTGACACGCTCGCTAAGACCCTCTACTCCAAGCTCTTTGACTGGTCAGTCTTTTGGTTGTACGGCCAAGGCTTGCCTCTAGTGAGCTCAACAACACCAAGTGACCCCCTATTGTTGGGTTTGGTTCACAATGATTGGGTTTCCAGTAATGTTGGGCACCATCCGACGCACGTTATTCTCCAGCCAACTTACTGGACGGGGGCAGCAATAACTGAGCCAAGCCCATTACCCCAGCCACCCCGCCATCCATCATCTTTCCCACGTAAGCCCTTATAAATGATTATCCTAGCGAATTCAATTCGACTTCCATTTCATGCATGTCTTCAGCACTGGGAGATGTGACCGCCTCACATGCCCAGGCCCAGCCACCCTACATCACTCTCCCTCAACCGCGCCTCACTCCCCCCCCTTCCGTCCCCCTTAACGCTCCCTCTCTCCTCCCTTTTTGTCCCACCCCTTGTCCACCCGGCCCCTCCAGGATCGTGCAGAAGGTGAACAGGTCCATGGGGCAGGACCCCAGGGCGAACAGTTGGTACACCCATCTTTCACCCCTCCTCACCGCATCCCACATCCCAACACCCCTCTCCCTTCTCAATGCAGGATCGTGCAGAAGGTGAACAGCTCCATAGGGCAGGACCCCAGGGCCATGGCCATCATCGGCGTGCTTGATATCTACGGCTTCGAGCACTTCAAGATCAACAGGTGCGATGAGAGGAGAGGAAAGCACTTCAAGATCAACAGGTGACGTGAGAGGAGAGGAAAGCACTTCAAGATCAACAGGTGACGTGAGAGGAGAGGAAAGCACTTCAAGATCAACAGGTGCGAGCGATGATAGGAGAGGAAAGCACTTCAAGATCAACAGGTGACGTGAGAGGAGAGGAAAGCACTTCAAGATCAACAGGTGACGTGAGAGGAGAGGAAAGCACTTCAAGATCAACAGGTGACGTGAGAGGAGAGGAAAGCACTTCAAGATCAACAGGTGACGTGAGAGGAGAGGAAAGCACTTCAAGATCAACAGGTGACGTGAGAGGAGAGGAAAGCACTTCAAGATCAACAGGTGACGTGAGAGGAGAGGAAAGCACTTCAAGATCAACAGGTGACGTGAGAGGAGAGGAAAGCACTTCAAGATCAACAGGTGATGTGAGAGGAGAGGAAAGCACTTCAAGATCAACAGGTGCGATGATAGGAGAGGAAAGCACTTCAAGATCAACAGGTGACGTGAGAGGAGAGGAAAGCACTTCAAGATCAACAGGTGACGTGAGAGGAGAGGAAAGCACTTCAAGATCAACAGGTGACGTGAGAGGAGAGGAAAGCACTTCAAGATCAACAGGTGACGTGAGAGGAGAGGAAAGCACTTCAAGATCAACAGGTGACGTGAGAGGAGAGGAAAGCACTTCAAGATCAACAGGTGACGTGAGAGGAGAGGAAAGCACTTCAAGATCAACAGGTGCGATGATAGGAGAGGAAAGCACTTCAAGATCAACAGGTGACGTGAGAGGAGAGGAAAGCACTTCAAGATCAACAGGTGACGTGAGAGGAGAGGAAAGCACTTCAAGATCAACAGGTGACGTGAGAGGAGAGGAAAGCACTTCAAGATCAACAGGTGACGTGAGAGGAGAGGAAAGCACTTCAAGATCAACAGGTGACGTGAGAGGAGAGGAAAGCACTTCAAGATCAACAGGTGACGTGAGAGGAGAGGAAAGCACTTCAAGATCAACAGGTGACGTGAGAGGAGAGGAAAGCACTTCAAGATCAACAGGTGACGTGAGAGGAGAGGAAAGCACTTCAAGATCAACAGGTGACGTGAGAGGAGAGGAAAGCACTTCAAGATCAACAGGTGACGTGAGAGGAGAGGAAAGCACTTCAAGATCAACAGGTGACGTGAGAGGAGAGGAAAGCACTTCAAGATCAACAGGTGCGATGATAGGAGAGGAAAGCACTTCAAGATCAACAGGTGACGTGAGAGGAGAGGAAAGCACTTCAAGATCAACAGGTGACGTGAGAGGAGAGGAAAGCACTTCAAGATCAACAGGTGACGTGAGAGGAGAGGAAAGCACTTCAAGATCAACAGGTGACGTGAGAGGAGAGGAAAGCACTTCAAGATCAACAGGTGCGACGAGAGGAGAGGAAAGCACTTCAAGATCAACAGGTGACGTGAGAGGAGAGGAAAGCACTTCAAGATCAACAGGTGACGTGAGAGGAGAGGAAAGCACTTCAAGATCAACAGGTGACGTGAGAGGAGAGGAAAGCACTTCAAGATCAACAGGTGACGTGAGAGGAGAGGAAAGCACTTCAAGATCAACAGGTGCGATGATAGGAGAGGAAAGCACTTCAAGATCAACAGGTGACGTGAGAGGAGAGGAAAGCACTTCAAGATCAACAGGTGACGTGAGAGGAGAGGAAAGCACTTCAAGATCAACAGGTGACGTGAGAGGAGAGGAAAGCACTTCAAGATCAACAGGTGACGTGAGAGGAGAGGAAAGCACTTCAAGATCAACAGGTGCGATGATAGGAGAGGAAAGCACTTCAAGATCAACAGGTGACGTGAGAGGAGAGGAAAGCACTTCAAGATCAACAGGTGACGTGAGAGGAGAGGAAAGCACTTCAAGATCAACAGGTGACGTGAGAGGAGAGGAAAGCACTTCAAGATCAACAGGTGACGTGAGAGGAGAGGAAAGCACTTCAAGATCAACAGGTGACGTGAGAGGAGAGGAAAGCACTTCAAGATCAACAGGTGACGTGAGAGGAGAGGAAAGCACTTCAAGATCAACAGGTGACGTGAGAGGAGAGGAAAGCACTTCAAGATCAACAGGTGACGTGAGAGGAGAGGAAAGCACTTCAAGATCAACAGGTGACGTGAGAGGAGAGGAAAGCACTTCAAGATCAACAGGTGACGTGAGAGGAGAGGAAAGCACTTCAAGATCAACAGGTGACGTGAGAGGAGAGGAAAGCACTTCAAGATCAACAGGTGACGTGAGAGGAGAGGAAAGCACTTCAAGATCAACAGGTGACGTGAGAGGAGAGGAAAGCACTTCAAGATCAACAGGTGACGTGAGAGGAGAGGAGAGCACTTCAAGGTCGGTGAGAGATCCACTCTTCTGCTTACTCAGTTCCTTCATCCCCACCACCCTTTCCCAATAGCCCCCCTTTCCGCCCACACCCACTTCTCTCTTCCTCCTTCCCTTTCTGTCCGTTCTCCCTCCACCTGCTTTTGCCTCTTCTCCCTCCTTCCCTTTCTCCCCTTCTTCCGTGCACCGTCATCCATGCGCTGTGCTGGCCACCCCATTCGTCTCCAAACCCCTCTTCTTCCCTCCCCCCACTGAACCCCCCCTCTCTCCACTCATCTTACCTCCATGCCCCCCCAACAGCTTTGAGCAGTTCTGCATCAATCTTGCCAATGAGAAACTGCAGCAGCATTTCAACCAGGTGAGGCGTTTCAACCAGGTGAGGCGTTTCAGCCAGGTGAGGCGTTTCAACCAGGTGAGGCGTTTCAACCAGGTGAGGCGTTTCAACCAGGTGAGGCGTTTCAACCAGGTGAGGCGTTTCAACCAGGTAGGGCGTTTCAACCAGGTGGGTGGGGCGTTTCAACCACGTGGGGCGTTTCAACCAGGTGGGTCGTTTCAACCAGGTGAGGCGTTTCAACCAGGTGAGGCGTTTCAACCAGGTGGGGCGTTTCAACCAGGTGGGGCATTTCAACCAGGTGGGTCATTTCAACCAGGAAATGCGTCTCAAGAAGGTGAGGCGTGTTTCGCGACAGGCCAGCTGGAAAGACTCATGTGCTTTTGTGGGCAGCTGTACTAAGCACCGCGGAACTTGCACTTAATAGGTAACAGGGCAAAGTGCTCTTACCAGAATACATATCAGATCCCATGCTTTAGACCCGAACCATTTTTTATTCGGAATTTTCCAGTTTTCATGGTCCGTAATCGGGTAAAAAAAATGCGTGCGTTTGCTTGTGCCCTATCTACCCGTCTTCTACCCCCCCTTCCTCTTGACCACCAGCACGTGTTGAAGCTGGAGCAGGAGGAGTACGAGAAGGAGCAGATTAACTGGAGCTACATCAACTTCCGTGACAACCAGGACGTGCTCGACCTCATAGAGGGGGTGAGGGGCGTGAGGGGCGTGAGGGGCGTGAGGGGCGTGAGGGGCGTGAGGGGCGTGAGGGGCGTGAGGGTTTGATTGGCAGGACTGTGGGGCAGAAACGTAGTAGTGGGGTGAGAAGCTGGATGGGTGTGTCTGGACGGACAACCGGGATGTGGAGGACCTCATTGAACCGCTGAGGGAGGGGCGTGAGGGACACACTGGAGTGGGGGTGAGGGGCATGGTCGGTGGCACTAGGTGGGGGAAGGGATGGGTGACGCATAGATGGACGGGGGGGGGAGTGAACACTTTAGAGTAGAGGGTAAGTGGCACTTGTCGAGCGAGTCACATGGAGATGGTGAAGATCAGATCAAATCAGACATGATGCATGCGCTCACTCCTAGGGGTGCGATATATTTCAAATCCACTCAACCCTTCCTCCCCTCTTCCCCTTTTCCTTGCGCACTGCGCCCTGGCTCCGCCCATGTGCCCGCACAACAGGACAAGGGCATACTCAGCATCCTCGACTCTGCCTGGTACGTCCCCCCCCCTCACCCCATACCTCCATTCGCCTTCCCTTCCCCCACCTGCATTCCCCTCTTTGGATCTGCAAACTCGTGAGCTCACAAAATCTCCGATCCGTGGGGATCGATGGGGGAAGTTGCGGATGCGCGCAGGCAGTGATTGAAGGGGCAGGTTGGTCCACCCAAAGCGACATCGAGCTCGAGGTCCAACGAGCGAGTTGGGTATATCTGGCCGGGGCTTATTTGACCCGAACCCGCGTCGGGCCGACCTGGCCAGGAAGGGTCGATTTGGGCCGGGTAATTGCTTACCCCCACCCGTCGTCTCAACCCCCCCACACCTCTGCTCTTCCTCCTCTCTCTCCCACACAATGCTATCCCCATTCTCTACATGATATTCCCCCCCACTCTTCACCCTCCCAGCCGCCTGGCGCAGGCCAGGCTTCACCCAGTCGCTGCTCATTGCCTTTCTGCATCACGATTGCTTCTCTTCCTTCTTCCTCCCCCCTGCGCCTCTTTCCCATCCCTCTTGCGCCACCCTCCCTCCTCTCCCCTCAGCCACCTTGCTGTGCGATGCCTTCCTTCCCATCTTTCCTTCACCCCCTTCCAATCCCCCCTTCCAGCCGCCTGGCGCAATCCACTGCCGAGGGCTACTGTGTCGCTGTACGGCGCCTTCCTCCAGCACGACCACTTCTCTTCCCCCTTCCTTCCCCCACCTTACCTCTTCCTTTCCCTACTCTTCCCCCCCCTCCCCTCCTCCCCCTTTCGCTCCCTTCGCCCTTCCAGCCGCCTGGCGCAGTCAACAGCGGAGGGCTTTACCCTATCGCTGTACGACGCCTTCCTCCGCCACGACCGCTTCTCCAAGTCCAAGGGCTCCGTCACTGACTTCACTCTCGAGCACTACGCCGGGCAGGTGGGTGGGGCGGACTGACTGGAAGGTCAATCAACGTGACCTTTGAGTCGACCCAAACGTATTTTCCAAACCCAACAGCTCCGTCACCGTCTTCACTCTTGAGCACAGTGTGGGGTGGGGCAGGTGGTGGGTGGGGCTCTGTGCTGGGCACTACGGGCCGGGCAGGTCAGTCTGTTCTGTGGGACCCTGGATTCCACGGCCTGACCCTGCACACGCGCTGGCCTGGCCTGGCCCTGGATGCGTGCCGCGCTGGCCCTGGAATTTAGGGCCTGGAGGCTCCAATCCCATGTTCTCCCATGTCACTCGCCCCCCCTCTCCCTCACTCACTCCATCTTACCCTCCATTCCTCCAACTCCATACTTCCCTCCCCTTTCTCATGAGCACGCCAGGTGAAGTACAGCACGGCGGAGTTCATAAGCAAGAACATGGACGCGGTGGTATCAGAGCACGAGGTGCTGCTGCAGAAGTCCACCGACCCCTTTGTGGCCGCGCTCTTCCCGCCCGCACCGCCCGACGACAAGGCCGGCAAGGCCACCAGCAAGTTCGCCTCGCTGGGCCGCTCCTTCAAGGTGCGCACTAGCCGTCCAACAATCCAACTAACCATCCAAACACACACCTGTGTGCCCTGCATGGTTCAAGTTCATGCCTCCGAACGCTCCGGGTGGCTCGGGCAAGTGCTGGGTGGGAAGTGGCAGAAGCTGCTGATATGGCAAGCTTATGGGCTTCTCTTTCAATGCACATTTTGCTCAGTCTTGCAGTGCATTTTCTCCTTACACCACCCATTTTCTCTCCTCCATCCCTCTTTCTCGCCCCCTGCCTTTGCCCTCGCCCCAACCCCTCGTTACCAGCAACAACTGGCACAGCTGATGGAGACACTCAACCGCACTGAACCGCACTACATCCGGTGCATCAAGCCGAACGCCAAGAGTCGGCCGGGCATGTTTGAGCGCGCCATGGTCACGGACCAGCTGCGCTCGGGAGTGAGTTGGCAAGGGCATAGTATCCAGTGGCTTAGTAGGTAGATAGATTGTAGCATTCCTGAGCAAGCCATGTCACACCGATCAGCTGCGGTCGGGAGTGAGTTAGTACCCAGTGGGATCATTAGACAATATTCCCTTGGTACCGCTGAAGTGAGTGAGCGTGCGCTGGTCATTGACCAGCTGCGGTCGGGAGTGAGATGGGGGCGCGGGGTTGGAGGCCATCCGCATGTGCTCAGTAGGCTATTTCACACACCGCGCGTTCGAGTTTTTTTTAGCACTCTGTGCCAGTGCTCCCTCTGTGCCTATCCCCTTGTGTACCCTTGCTTCCCCCGTTCCCCCCTTACCTGTGCGCGGCCAGGGAGTGCTGGAGGCCATCCGTATGTGCTCAGCAGCACGTTACAACATCTGCCGCACATTGGACGGCTTTGTTGACCACTTTGTGCCCGGGCACCCTCTCTCCGCATGCCATCCGCACTCTGTGCCCTTACTCTTCCCTCCCCCTCCTCTTACCTGTGTGCGGCCAGGGAGTGCTAGAGGCCATCCGCATGTGCTCCGCCGGCTACCCCACTCGTCGCACCTTTGAGGACTTTGTCGACCGCTTTGCTCTGCTGCTGCCCTCGCTGCTCGACCAGGAGTGGGTGCTCTCCTCTGCCTCCCCCCTCCTTTCATCTCCACTCCCCTCTTTTTCTCTCCTCTCCCCTCCTCTTATCTCTCTCTTCCCACCCGTTCCTCCTCTCCACCATACTCCTCTCTCCGCCTCTCATCAAGAAGACGTAGCTGAACCGAACCTCGTGTGTGTGAAGCTTCTCACTTGGTTCCGTTCTGCATCTCCTCCGCTCAGCTCACCGCCCGCGCACCTCTCCAGCACGTTGACCTCTCCAGCACGTTGACCTCTCCAGCACGTTGACCTCTCCAGCACGTTGACCTCTCCAGCACGTTGACCTCTCCAGAAGGGAACTCTCCGCCCTTCTTCCTCTGTCCTCGCCATTCCCCTCTTTGATCTGCAACTCTCCCCTCCTCTCCCTTCCTCCTCCTCTCTCCTCCTCTTTCCTCCTCCTCTCTCTTCTCTTCTCCTTTCCTCCTCTCCTCAGGGGGCGTTTGAGTCGACCCAAAGGCACCCCTCACCCCTCCTTCCCCCCCAAAACCTGACCCCTTTCCCCCTCTCCTCCCTCTTCTCTCTGCCCCCTCGCAGCATGTCAGACGCGGAGTATGTGGAGGCGCTGCTCAATCATTCACAGTTGGCGTTTCAGCAGGCTCAAAAGCCGACCCCCTTTCTCCCCCTGCCCACACCTCTCGTCCCTCTCCCCAGCTTGTCAGACGTGGAGTATGTGGAGGCGCTGCTCAAGCACGCCAAGCTCGAGAACTACCAGGTGCCCACTCAGATGGTTCTTCAGGTCACACTAACCTTCGGTTCAGGTCAACAGATTAGGTGATTGAATCACTAGTCTCTCTGTTTTCCCACACAACCACCCACCCCATACATATACATATTACATATACATGTATAAAATGTGTGTGTGTGCGCGCGCGCGCGCGCGCGTGTGTGTGTGTGTGGTGGGGTGTGTGTGTGTGTGTGTGTGTGTGTGCGCGTGCGTGCGTGCGTGCGTGCGCGCGCGCGCGCGCGCGTGTGTGTGTGTGTGTGTGTGTGTGCGTTCTTGCGGGTAGGGCAGGACTAAGTAAGGTGTCCCTGCGGGTGCGGCAGATGATAGTTTGTTTGTTCATCCCCCTCAATCCCCTCCCCTATCACCTCCCCGTCCCTCCCTCCCGCATGCAGATCGGGCTGACCAAGGTGTTCCTGCGGGCGGGGCAGATGGCGCTGCTGCAGAGCATGCGCCTGGACGCCATGAACGAAGCTGCCAGGAAGATTCAGCGCGCCACGCGGCACTTCCTCTTCATGCGCCACCGCAGGCGCGCCGCCCTGCTCATCCAGACGCACTGGCGAGGTGAGTCAGTGCGGTGTGGTGGGGTGCGGTGTGAGATGCTCATCCAGACACACTGGCGAGGTGAGATTTGCAGTGCGGTGGTGGCATGAAGATCAATGGTAGGTAGGGCGGGAAAAGCCATGCAAGGGAAGTGGAGGAAGAGCCAACTCACGTGTCACAGGTGCCTGAGCGAGCAGCTCGCTTGGTTGGTCACGATAACGGCCCGTGTATAAGGGCCTTGCCGAGGCGGGAAGGTTTGAGGTTTGCCGATCCTGAGTTGCACCAAGCCTGCTCAACGAGCCTTGTGACCATTGGCGGTGCCCTGGAGTCGTGAACAGGCCCAGCCAAGCTGCAGGGAGCTCTTTGCAAAATGCCCGCTGGCATGAGTTTGGTGGGTGTAATGCCTCCCGTACCCCTGGCCTTGCATGGGGCGTGCCGTCACCCGCCCATGTCTTTGCGAGGCGACTAGACGCAGGCAGTCAGCAACAGCTGACTGACTTGCAGCAGCAGCAGCTCTGCTTGTCACACTCTCTCTTTTCTTGAACCTCAGCTGTTCCTCCCCCACCGTGTAGTCTTCTCATCCCTTACTTGCCTTTCCTCCCCCTTTCCCCCTCTCTTCCGCCCCCTTGCCTATCCCCGCCAGGCCACTGTGCGCGCGCGTCATACCAGCAGCTGCGGAGGAATGTGGCAGCGACAACCATCCAGGCAGCAGAGAGAGGGCGGCAGCAGCGCCTGCGCTTCCTGCACCTGCGCCACGCCGCTGTGGTGGTGCAGGCCGCTGTGCGCATGCACCTCTGCCGCACCGCCTACATCAACACGCGCCGCCGCCTGGCCGCCACGCGCATTCAGGTGCGTTGCAGCACAAGGCACGCTGCTGTCTGTCGCGATGCAGCGGTGTGAGAATCCTGCGGTGTGCCTGCAGTGCAGAACCCTTCAGAATCCCTTGGAGCACTGGAAGCGATACTCTCCGCCGTGTCGAGCCTTGTGTGCCACCCCCCGTCCCTCCCTCTCACGACGCCCCCCTGCACTGCAGAGCACGTGGCGAGGGTACATGCACAGGCGGCCATGGAGGGCGCTCAAGCACATGCTGGCGGGTAGAGTGGCGCGCCTCCGACTGCACAACCTCAAGCTCGTCAGTCATTCCGTCCCCCTGCTCTCGCCATCCATACTAACCAATCCCCCCTGTTCTCTTCCTTTTCCTTGCCTTTCTGTTTCTCCTGCACTGCTTACGCCTCTCACCATCCATACCAACCAATCCCCCTCCCTGCCTCCCTTTCTGATCCTTTCTGCTTCTCCTGCTCTGCTCATGCCTAGGAGCGGGCGCCTTTCAGCATCCATACCAACCACGGTTCCCCTTCCCCCTTTTCTTGCCTTCCCTGCTCGTCCTGTACTCCCCCCACTGCCAGGAGGCGAGTCGGCAGGCGGAGTTGGCGCCGCCGCGCAAGAAGACAGATGTGGCCATCGATACCATCCGCATGATGATGCTCCGAGTCATGCGGGTGAGCGGAGAGGGGTTTGGTGACTGAGAATTATGTGTGAACGACGTTCTTTATATTTTTTTTATAGCAGCTCCAATGTCGCTGGTGATGCGGTTGATGTGGTGGATGATGGGGTTGAGAGCGATGCGAGTGACGCAGCGAGAGTGGGCGTGGTGTGACAGTGCGCGTGATGTAACAGGGGAGTCACCTACACACACACACACGCTGAATTCTTCTCCATTTTATCCACGACTTGCTTTTCGCTTTTTGAGGCGACTCAAAAGCATTTCACTTGACACCTTGCGACCCTTTTGACACACCCCTTCCCTTCTGGCCTGCACTGCACCCGTATTCTTTCCCTCTCCCATCTTCTCTCGCACCTCTCCTCTCCCTCCTCACCTTCAACTATTTATAATACTACTATACCACTTGCCCGCCTCATCGCCTCCTCCCCTTCGCAGGATAAGGCCGAAAAAAGCCGTGCGAACTCAGAGCGCCAGCTGGCAGAGGTGCGTGCTGAGCTGGAGCGGACCAAGAAGGAGCTGGCAGGCAAGGCGCATGAGGTGGCGCGGCTGGTGGGGCAGCTGGAGCAGGAGCAGCAGCGGGCGGAGCAGGCAGAGGAGCGGTTGGAGGAGCTGCTGAGGGAGCAGGACAGGGAGCGGGAGGAGGGGCGGGAGCGAGTGCTGCACGTGGCATCTGTGGCCTCTCACAAAGCAGCAGCAGGCGGAGTAGGAGGAGGAGCAGCAGGGCCCCTCAGCAGCCTTCCTTCCTTCGGCGGGTCAGGCTTCTCGTCGTCCTCCTCCTCGCCCTCTGCTGCTGCCGCTGCCGTGGCTGCCATAGCAGGGGGCGCGCTGGGAGTGATGGTGGACAAGCAGGTGGCGTCGCAGCAGGGCGGTGGAAGAGGCGGCAATCTGGGGGTGCCAGAGGGGTCCAGGATCCTCGCGCGCATGGCGTCAAGAAGGCACCCCTCGCCGCACACGCCTGCCAGTCACCCCTCGTGGGAGGAAACCGCTGCTGCCGCTGCTGCTGGCGGTGCTGCGGGCGGTGCGAGTGCTGCTCTCACCGGCTCCCCGTCCTTCTCCTCCTCCTCCAGTCGCTCCTCGCCCGTCCCTCCCCTGCCTCCCTCCTCCGTGGCTTCCCCCCCTGGCAGCGGTGGCGGGGGTGGCATGGCGGCAGCAGCGGCGGCAGCGGTGGCAGCGATGGACAGCGCAGCAGCGGCCAGGGTGGCAGCGACGGGGGCAGGGGCAGCGGCAGGAGGGGACGGCACGCACGACGGTGGGCACAGGGGCCATGGCGGTGTGGCGGAGGGCCATCATCTGCCGAGCATACAGGAGACGGCGTCACGGGAGGAGGGCGAGGAGAAGAAGGTGGTTGCTGTCAGCCGGACCAGCAGCGGCGGCAGCGGCACCGGCGAGTTTGGTGGCAGCAGCGGGGGGCTGAGGCACGTGCGGTTCCCATCCCTTGGCCCGGAGGAGAGCGAGGCAGAGGCTGGGTACAATCGGGCGAGCACGCTGCCTGTGGGGAGGAGCATGCTACGGCAGCAGTCCATGGTGAAGACCCTCAAACCCGCTGCCAACGGCGATGCTGCTGGGGGCTCTGGCGGCGCAACCGACGGTGCAGATGCACGGCTGGCGAGGATCCGACGGCTGCAGTCGTCGAACCCGCGGATGGGCGGAGGAGGAGGAGCAGGGGGGGAGGGTGGTGGCGGGCCGGGAGTGCCGCGGCCGCTGGTGTCGGCCAAGTCGCTCACCCGCGACGAGGCCGTGCGCATGCTGGCTGTCGCCCAGCGAGATGCAGAGGAGGCGCTCAAGGTGAGGGGGGCGCACAAGGTGAGGGGGGCGCACAAGGTGAGGGGGGCGCACAAGGTGAGGGCAAGGTGAGGGGGGGCTTATAAGGAGACAGTTGGTATGACAAGGGGGTTTCGTAAGGCTGCATAGTCCCCTTCCTACTCTCTCTCGTCCCCCTTCCCCCTTTAACCCTCAGCCCCGTCCCTCTTCTGCTTCTGACTCTCTAATCCGCCATCTCCCTCTCCACCTCGCCTCCCTCCCCTCATCCCCCCTGCCCTTCTTCCTTCCCCTGATCCCTCCCCCTGCCTCCCCTGTCAGCTGAAGGAGGAGAGGCGGCAGCTGCAGGTGCGGTACCGGGAGGCGGTGGCGGCAGCGGAGGCGGCGCTGGCGGCGGCAGCGGAGGAGCGCGAGCGGGTGGGCGAGCTGCAGCGGTTGGTGGAGGGGAAGGACGAGGAGATCAGGGAGCTCACCGACAAGAACCAGGAGCTGCAGCTCGCCCTCACCCTGTCAGTCACCGCTGCAGTGCGCTGTTGCTCGCCCACACCAGCTCCAACCGCAGGCATCAACCGTTTCCCTCACACCCACCTACCACCACCACCTCGTACTTCTCTTCACCCCTGCTCGCTCACCATTCCCATATCTGGCATCCCACCCCCCCACCCCCCCTCCCCCCTCTCTCCCTCCCACCCCAATCGCAGCAAGGCGCGAGAGGTGCGCACGCTCAGCCAGAGGCTGCTGGCATCGCAGGCAGAGAGCGAGACAGAGGAGATGCCCGTCGACAAGCAGCAGGTGCGTGCCGTCGACAAGCAGCAGGTGCGTGCCGTCGACAAGCAGCAGGTGCGTGCCGTCGACAAGCAGCAGGTGCGTGCCGTCGACAAGCAGCAGGTGCGTGCCGTCGACAAGCAGCAGGTGCGTGGACAAGCAGCAGGTGCGTGGACAAGCAGCAGGTGCGTGGACAAGCAGCAGGTGCGTGGACAAGCAGCAGGTGCGTGGACAAGCAGCAGGTGCGTGGACAAGCAGCAGGTGCGTGGACAAGCAGCAGGTGCGTGGACAAGCAGCAGGTGCGTGGACAAGCAGCAGGTGCGTGGACAAGCAGCAGGTGCGTGGACAAGCAGCAGGTGCGTGGACAAGCAGCAGGTGCGTGGACAAGCAGCAGGTGCGTGGACAAGCAGCAGGTGCGTGGACAAGCAGCAGGTGCGTGGACAAGCAGCAGGTGCGTGGACAAGCAGCAGGTGCGTGGACAAGCAGCAGGTGCGTGGACAAGCAGCAGGTGCGTGGACAAGCAGCAGGTGCGTGGACAAGCAGCAGGTGCGTGACCTTGTGTTCGAAGAGCTCCCATCCAATGCTCACTCCACAAGTGCCATGTGGGCATCTTCCTTTCCACCGCTCACCCCACCTGGACGACTGGCACCATCCATGTACCCCATCTCCCCTCTTCCCCCCAACGCTCCCATCCACTCTTTCCCCTTCTTTCCGACCGCCCTCTCGACTCCCTCTCCACGTGTCCCCCACGCCTCCCGCCTGCCCCCCTGACAGGAGCTGCTGCTGTCGGAGGTGGCGAGCAGCCGCTTCCCCTTCGGCCCCGAGGGGCAGCCAGTGGCGGCGTGCATGGTGTACCGCGCGCTGCTGCAGTGGGGCGCGCTGGAGGCGGAGCGCACCAACACGTTCGACCGCATCGTCGAGGCCTTCCAGCGCGGCTCAAACGACCAGCTGCTGCCCGCGCAGGCCTACTGGCTCACCAACCACGTCGTGCTCTACTACCTCGTGCAGGTCCGTGCTCCGCGGTGCAGTGCGGTGCTGTGTGATTGGACCGGTGCTGTGCTGTGCTGCTGTGCAAGCCCCCACTGGCCTTGCTCAATGCTGTGTGATTGGAGGGCTTGCACAATGCACAGCTGGTCTCGTTCCTCAGCCCGTTTTCTTTCCTCTTCCCACCCTCTCCTTCCTCCATGAAACCTGCTGTGCAAGCCCCCAATGGCAAGACATCTTGTACAGCTCTCACAGGTACCAACAGCTTGCCACCTTGCCCCCAACCATACCTTCTCTCTCGTCCTCCCTCTTCCCTCCCTCTCCCCCTTCCCCCCAACCCCCCGGCCCGCAGGTGGTGTACCAGCCGCCAGTGGAGCAGCCCGTCCAGGAGAGCTTCTCCTTCTCCTTCTTTGGCATGGCCTCCCGCCCCGCCGCCCCTGTATGTGCCACCCTCTCCATTCCCTCCACCCTCTTACCCACTCTCACTCTCAATCCCGTCTGCACTCACTTACGTTCACCCTCTCACTTCCCTCCACCTTTTCACTTCCCTCGACCCTCTCACTCTGTTCCAATCTCACTTTCCCCAACCCTCTCCCACTGCCCCTGCCCGCATGCCAGCCCAAGGCAGCGGTGGAGCGGGTGGACGTGATGCTGTTCAAGCAGCAGCTGGCGACGGGCACGGAGCGCCTCTTCGTCACCATCAGGGACGCCGCCAAGGCTCAACTCAACAGGCACTTTGCACTGCCCTCGCAGGTCGGTCGGTGGGTGGGACTATTACGGCTGCGACTTGTAATTGTGACTTGTGATTGTGACTCATGGTTGACTCTGCCTTAGCCTGTCCTCTGCTTGTTTCTACTTGCCTCTTGTCACCCCACCACCGCTCCTTCAAGCTCGCGCACAAGCTCTCCCACCCCCCTGCCCTCTCCCCTCGCACGGCTCCCAGGAGGCGGCAGTGGAAGCAGAGGGCGACCTGGCAGCCGGTGACGTGGAGGCAGGGAAGGGCGGCAAGGCGGGCGGGGCAGGGGGCAGGCGGCTGGCGCGGGCGAAGGCGAGGGCAGGGGGGCGGTCGGGGGCAGCGATGGTGCGGAAGCACGTGGTGAACTACTGGGCCAACGTGGTGGTCACTCTCAAGCAGGTGAACTACTGGGCCAACGTGGTGGTCACTCTCAAGCAGGTGAACTACTGGGCCAACGTGGTGGTCACTCTCAAGCAGGTGAACTACTGGGCCAACGTGGTGGTCACTCTCAAGCAGGTGAACTACTGGGCCAACGTGGTGGTCACTCTCAAGCAGGTGAACTACTGGGGGAATGTTATATCACATGCATATTTGCAAAACGTCGACCACTCACCGTCCACTATTCGTGTGTGTTCCGTGCACCGCTCTTGCACAAGTGACTTGGCATGGCATGTACGCCCATCCCCCCATTCCCCAACTAATCTAACGTGCCTTCCCCATCCCCTGCATCCCGCGCACACAGCAGGTGACGGCCACGCTGGCAGCGAACCACGTGCCGGCGGTGGTGGTGGATGCGCTGCTGCGACAGCTGCTCTTCTTCGTCAACGTCAAGATCGTCAACGGGTGAGCGCCCCACACACCACCGATCAGCATGCCATGACACTCAACTGCAAAACTGCACCACGCCTCCAGCAATGCAGGACGCAGATAATACCAACTTCTCCATGGCATGTCCGAAAGGCAGTGATGGCACGAATTAGGACTGACTGAGTACACAGCGCATTCTAGTAATCTCTCTGGATGATTCTCACTGTCCTTAATCCTATGAATCTGATTCTTCTTACCACCTTCTGCACCCCCTTGTGAACAGGCTGATGGTGCGGGCGCAGTGGTGTCCGTGCACGTACAGCAACGGGGAGTTGATGGAGGAGGGGTTGGGGCGGTTGGAGCAGTGGGTGCACGACGTGGAGGTGCAGCTCAAGGACGCCATGGGCGCCTCCAAGGAGCCCCTCAAGCGCGAGCTCAGACACATCCGCCAGGCCATCTACTTCCTCGTGAGCCATCTACTTCCTCGTGAGCCATCTACTTCCTCGTGAGCCATCTACTTCCTCGTGAGCCATCTACTTCCTCGTGAGCCATCTACTTCCTCGTGAGCCATCTACTTCCTCGTGAGCCATCTACTTCCTCGTGAGCCATCTACTTCCTCGTGAGCCATCTACTTCCTCGTGAGCCATCTACTTCCTCATGAGCCCCATTGCTTCCTCGTGAGCCGCCATGCCCCCACACGTGTTGGTCAACTGTTGCTTCCTCTTCTCCATGCCTTCCCCCCCTTGCATGGGACGTTATGGGTCCACATCCCATCCCTCGCCTGTGTCTGTAACTGTTGGGGATTTTTTTTTGTCGCACCACTCCCACTGCCCTCCCCAACCCTTTTGCTCCCCCGACCTACCCACACCCCAACGGCGGTCAGACGCTGGACCACAAGCCGCGGCGGTCGCTGGAGGAGATAGAGGAGCTGTGTCCGGACCTGACGCTGAACCAGCTGGTGCACATGTGCATCTGGTACGAGGACGACGCGTACGGCACCAAGGGCGTCGACCCCTCCGTCACCGAGCGCATGTGGGCGCTCATGGTGGACGACTGCCCCATGCTGCTCAAGGACGACGAGAGGTCAGCGGTGCCCCTGGGTGGGTGCGGATGGGTGTGGGTGGGTGTGGGTGGGTGTGGGTGGGCGTGGGTGGGCCACGTGTGGGCATGGATGGGCATGCACATGCTGGCATGCTTGCTGTGCTTCTATGCATGACAGCATGCCCAACACTCTTCAACTCGCCATTTCTTTCTCCCCTCCTCTTTTCCTCTCTCCCCATCCCACACGCCCTCATCCCTCCCTCCGTCAACCCCTCCCCCCACTCCACCCCCCCAGCATCCCCTTCACGGTGGACGACATAGCCCTGGCCATGCCCGCCATGCACATCGACGACTTGGAGCCGCCGCCCGAGCTGCAGCACGACCCCGCCTTCCACTTCCTCCTGCCCTACAGCGCCAGCGCCGCTGCCCCTCACAGCAACGCTGCTGCGCTCCCCTCCACGCCGTCCATGCCGGCCCTTGCCACCTCCTCCGACCGCTCCATCCACCTGCCGGTGCGCTCCGCCTCTGCCGCTGGCGACTACAGCTCCCCCGCCACCACGCCCCGTGCCGCCACCCCGTCCCCCGCACCCGCACCCGAGGCATCCTCGTTTAGCGCCTGGGACCTGCTCAGAGGGGGTGCATGGCGCCGCGCTGCACAGCAAGAATGAACGGGGAAGTGGGGTAAAGTGCTGGCAAATGGAGCACTTGGAGATTGTTCGAGTGGGAGGGAGACTGCTTGTAGTAGTGCTGTTGAAAGAATAGGGAGTATGTGTAATAGCTTCTGCTTGGAAAAGGCTGGGGAACATCTACGGTAGTTGAGAGATAGTTAGGGAGCACAAACCAGCCTTATGCTCTAACGATATGGTGTTGGGCTGAGATAGCCCCTTAGGATCTTTTCAAGGGAGAACTCTGGGTAGGATAGTGTTGTAGTAGCGGAAGCTTTAACGAAAGATTATGAACCACCTTGCGCTGGTATGTGAGGGCAAAGTAGATTGATTATAGCAAGGAAGTACAAGATTATATAGTAATACAGGGAATATGAAAGGATGCAGTTTGTAACTACTTTACTGTTGCTGTTGCGGTTCGATACAGTACGACTCGGGCAACTGCTCTGTAACGAGTCAGTTGTGTGTCCTTAACTGTCGCGCTGTATTTGTCAGGTCAAAGGTCGCTTGACCTTTGACTTTCGCGTAACCTCCAGCAACCTCTCAACCTCCGAGGGTTGACTCGCGTTTGTTTCGGTACTGCTTGCTTCGCTTCTGGTGCGATGTTTCGACACGACTGAAGCGCTTAAGATTTACTGTTTCCAACACTCCCCTTCGCTTCTGGAGTGTCGCTGCTGATGACGTGGCCCTGTCCAGTCAGCAGCATGCAGTACTCGAACTTCTGCTTTCCGAGCTTCTTGGTCAAATAGTCGGCTGCCATCTCGGACGTGGGGCAGTATGACAGCTGAAGTCTCCCCTTCTCGATCTCGTCTTTCACGAAGAAGTAGCGCAGGGCAATGTGTTTCGTCCTGTTCGCGAAGCCGTTTTTGTTGGCGATGCGAATTGCTGATTGATTGTCGCAGAACAGGGTGAAGTTGGGTAACTCAGCCAACTTTGCTTCTTCCAGCAGTTCGCGAAGATAAAGGCCTTCTTTGGTGGCTGAGCAGAGTGCGATGTATTCTGCTTCAGCTGAAGATAGCGCGATTAACTCCTGCTTGCTCGACTGCCAGGAGATAGGACCGATAGGTTCGAGGCGGTAAACGTAGCCGGTGCGTGAGCGCCTGTTGTCGGAGTCGCCGGCGTGATCGGCGTCGACGTAGCCGATTAGCTTGGTTGGTGCGGTTGCGTTCTTGTGGTAGGTTAGGCCGATCGTCGGGGTGCTGATGAAGTAGTGAAGAGCTCGGTCGAGCTCCGCCAGGTGCTCTGTTTCGGGCTTCTTGAGGTAGGTGGCGAGCTGGCTTGCGGAGTATGAGAGGTCGGGACGGCAGGTAACAGCTGCGAAGAGGAGACATCCTAGCTTCCTCTGATAGTCGCGTACGCCGGCGGGTTTGAGTAAGGTGGATTTTCCCTTGTCGGCTCCTGTCGTGTAGCGGTATGGTGTTGAGATCGCGGCCGGCGTGAGACCGAAGCGTTTGGCGATGGTGTCGGCGTACTTTTCGGCGCTGAGGTAGATCGCGTCTTCTTCTTCTCGGATGTTGAGGCCGAGGTACTGAGTGACGGTAGGCGAGACCGTGAGTGTGAGGTCTTGCTGCAGCTCCCCTTCGAACCAGGTAGTGATGCCGTCATTTGACCCGATGTAGAGGAGATCGTCCACGTAGACGATTAGTAGAACGTAGTCGTCGTTCTTCGTGAGGCGATACATCCCTTGATCGTGTGGGAGTTGCTTGAAGCCGATGCGGATGAGGCGAGCGTGTAGGTACTGTTGCCATAGTCGCGGGGCCTGTTTGATCCCGTAGAGTGATTTTAGCAGCTGGCAGACATGCGTGGAGTCTGTGTTGGAGCCGTGTGGTAGCTCCACAAAAATCTCTGCGTCAACAGGTGCGTAGAGAAAAGCATTTGCGACGTCGATTTGTCGCAGCTTCTTTTTCTTCATGGCGGCGATCGCGAGGAGAATTCGCAGTGAAGTGTGGCGGCTGACCGGAGCGAAGGTTTCGGTGAAGTCACGTCCGTGCTCCTGGTCGAAGCCGCGCACGACCCAGCGTGCTTTGAATTTGTCGATGGTGCCGTCAGCTTTCGTCTTTACACGGAAGACCCATTTTCCGGTAAGTATGGTCTTGTTTCGTGCTACGCCGATAGGAACGACCTTCCAGGTGTTGCGTTCTTCTAACGCCTTCAATTCCCTGTCCATGGCTTCGCGCCATTTTTCCCTATGCTCCCCCCCCAGAGCCTGTTGAACCGTCGCAGGCTCCTTAGGAATGTCGGCGCCGTGGACTGCGGTGATGAGGCCGAGGATTTGGAGTCCACTCTGTGTGTAGCGGGGGAGTGTGGTGTCCTCGGGATAGACTGCTTCGTCTCCAGCTTCTGGATCAGGTGCGAAGTTGGGTCCTACGCGTTCTGCTTCGTTGGTGTTGACTTCAGCAGGTGTAACGTAACCGTTGTCGGCGAAGTGGTAGTAAACTTCGGCGTTGATTGTCAGATTATGTTATTTGTCTAGCCTGCAGTGGGGTGCTCATTAGTGAGTACAACCCCTTAGGGTTTCCTATATGTATCCTGCTGCTTGCTAGTTCATCATCATTCCCATTCTCACTTCTCCAATTCTCCTTCGTATACCACAAACCCTAGTCCTAGGGCACAACCTACTACCTCCTAGTGTGGGCCTAGGCTACTAAGCCTAGGCCCCACTCCTATTGTTTCTAACATGGTATCAGAGCGAGCACGTTCCTGCCGCTTACCTCTATGGGCCCACCACCTGCTTCCGCTGCCGTAGTGTCCGCCGCGCGCCCCGTGGTGCGCGGCGGCGAAACCCTAATTTTTCATCCCGCCGCGCCCTCGAAGCGTGCGGCGGTTTTCTGCCCGCCGTGCGCCCCGAGACGCGCGATGGCGGTTTTCTGCCCGCCGTGCGCCCCGAGGCGCGCGGCGGCTCTCTGCCCCGTCGCCCCGCGTCGTTCCCGTCGCCCGCGGCCCCCCGTTCCCGTCGCCCGCGGCCCCCCCGTTCCCGTCGCCCGCGGCCCCCCGTTCCCGTCGCCCGCGGCCCCCCGTTCCCGTCGCCCGCGGCCCCCCGTTCCCGTCGCCCGCGGCCCCCCGTTCCCATCGCTCGCGGCCCCCCGTTCCCGTCGCCCGCGGCCCCCCGTTCCCGTCGCCCGCGGCCCCCCCGTTCCCGTCGCCCGCGGCCCCCGTTTCGTCGCCCCGCGCCCCCCCTTTCGTCGCCCCGCGCGGACGCCAGCGCCACGGCCAGCCGCGAGCGCCAGCGCGGCCCGTACGGACTGCGCCAGGCCAGGGCGCGCCTCGAGCCGCTCGCCACTGCAGCAGCCGCCCCTGGAGCCGCCCGCCACTGCAGCAGCCGCCCCTGGAGTCGCCCGCCACAGCAGCAGCCGCCCCTGGAGCCGCTCGCCACTGCAGCAGCCGCCCCTGGAGTCGCCCGCCACAGCAGCAGCCGCCCCTGGAGCCGCCCGCCACTGCAGCAGCCGCCCCTGGAGCCGCCCGCCACTGCAGCGGCCGCCCCTGGAGTCGCCCGCCACTGCAGCAGCCGCCCCTGGAGTCGCCCGCCACAGCAGCAGCCGCCACTGGAGCCGCCCGCCACTGCAGCAGCCGCCCCTGGAGTCGCCCGCCACAGCAGCAGCCGCCCCTGGAGCCGCCCGCCACTGCAGCAGCCTCCCCTGGAGTCGCCCGCCACAGCAGCAGCCGCCCCTGGAGCCGCCCGCCACTGCAGCAGCCGCCCCTGGAGCCGCCCGCCACTGCAGCAGCCGCCCCTGGAGTCGCCCGCCACAGCAGCAGCCGCCCCTGGAGCAGCCGCCACTGCTGCAGCTGCCCCTGGACCCGAGCAGCCGCCCCTGCAGCAGCCGCCTCTGCAGCAGCCCACGACGCCGACCCTGCAGCTGCATGCGACGCCGCTCCTGGTCCCGGTGCAGCCGCCTCCTTTTCCTGTCACCCGCAGTCTTGTTCCTCTCGTTCTGTATGTGTCTTTTCTTGCCCACTCCGTGTACGTTCGTCTTGTTCGTGTATTTGTTTGTTTTGCCTGTGTTCGTTTGTTCTACCTACCTACCTACCTACCTGCGCCCTCGTGCCTTGTGCCTTGTGCCTTGTGCTTCGTGCCTCGTGCTTCGTGCCTCGTGCCTCGTGCCTCGTGCATCGTGCGCCCTGCTCCGCGCTGTTGCTCTGCACGCGCGGTTGCCCGCGCCCTCGTGCGCCCTACCCTACCTGCTCCGCGCTGTTGCTCTGCACGCGCGGTTGCCCGCGCCCTCGTGCGCCCTACCCTACCTGCTCCGCGCTGTTGCTCTGCACGCGCGGTTGCCCGCGCCCTCGTGCGCCCTACCCTACCTGCTCCGCGCTGTTGCTCTGCACGCGCGGTTGCCCGCGCCCTCGTGCGCCCTACCCTACCTGCTCCGCGCTGTTGCTCTGCACGCGCGGTTGCCCGCGCCCTCGTGCGCCCTACCCTACCTGCTCCGCGCTGTTGCTCTGCACGCGCGGTTGCCCGCGCCCTCGTGCGCCCTACCCTACCTGCTCCGCGCTGTTGCTCTGCACGCGCGGTTGCCCGCGCCCTCGTGCGCCCTACCCTACCTGCTCCGCGCTGTTGCTCTGCACGCGCGGTTGCCCGCGCCCTCGTGCGCCCTACCCTACCTGCTCCGCGCTGTTGCTCTGCACGCGCGGTTGCCCGCGCCCTCGTGCGCCCTACCCTACCTGCTCCGCGCTGTTGCTCTGCACGCGCGGTTGCCCGCGCCCTCGTGCGCCCTACCCTACCTGCTCCGCGCTGTTGCTCTGCACGCGCGGTTGCCCGCGCCCTCGTGCGCCCTACCCTACCTGCTCCGCGCTGTTGCTCTGCACGCGCGGTTGCCCGCGCCCTCGTGCGCCCTACCCTACCTGCTCCGCGCTGTTGCTCTGCACGCGCGGTTGCCCGCGCCCTCGTGCGCCCTACCCTACCTGCTCCGCGCTGTTGCTCTGCACGCGCGGTTGCCCGCGCCCTCGTGCGCCCTACCCTACCTGCTCCGCGCTGTTGCTCTGCACGCGCGGTTGCCCGCGCCCTCGTGCGCCCTACCCTACCTGCTCCGCGCTGTTGCTCTGCACGCGCGGTTGCCCGCGCCCTCGTGCGCCCTACCCTACCTGCTCCGCGCTGTTGCTCTGCACGCGCGGTTGCCCGCGCCCTCGTGCGCCCTACCCTACCTGCTCCGCGCTGTTGCTCTGCACGCGCGGTTGCCCGCGCCCTCGTGCGCCCTACCCTACCTGCTCCGCGCTGTTGCTCTGCACGCGCGGTTGCCCGCGCCCTCGTGCGCCCTACCCTACCTGCTCCGCGCTGTTGCTCTGCACGCGCGGTTGCCCGCGCCCTCGTGCGCCCTACCCTACCTGCTCCGCGCTGTTGCTCTGCACGCGCGGTTGCCCGCGCCCTCGTGCGCCCTACCCTACCTGCTCCGCGCTGTTGCTCTGCACGCGCGGTTGCCCGCGCCCTCGTGCGCCCTACCCTACCTGCTCCGCGCTGTTGCTCTGCACGCGCGGTTGCCCGCGCCCTCGTGCGCCCTACCCTACCTGCTCCGCGCTGTTGCTCTGCACGCGCGGTTGCCCGCGCCCTCGTGCGCCCTACCCTACCTGCTCCGCGCTGTTGCTCTGCACGCGCGGTTGCCCGCGCCCTCGTGCGCCCTACCCTACCTGCTCCGCGCTGTTGCTCTGCACGCGCGGTTGCCTGCGCCCTCGTGCGCTCTCCCGCCCCGGCCCCCCCCCCCCCCCCCCCCCCCCCCCCCCCTGGGTCCCCTGGACAGGAGGGTGTGGGGGTGGCGGGTGTGGGGGTGCTCCTTGTGCGTCGCCCCTTCCTTCTCCTCCGTCTCCCACTGCTGCAGCTGCTGTCAAACATTATATGTTTATATGATTGTAGGCTGTAGTGGGTTACACCTTAGGGGGTACACTAGATTAGGGTTTACTACTTGTATCCAACTTTGTGCTAGTACAGTCATTCCTGTCCGTTCATTCTGACATGGTTTCAGAGCAGGTCCTTCGCTAGGACCGTTTTTTTTTTAAGGGCCCACCGTTCCCTACCTACCTACCTACCTAGGGCGCCTCGAACTTTTTTTTTACGGCCCCTACCTCCCGCGACCCGCGACCCGCCCCTTAAGGCCCCGTCGCGCCGCCCCTTAGCCGCTCGCGCGCGGTCTCTTTTTTTTTCCCGCGCGCGCCTTATTTCCCTCGCGCGCGGCCCGTCGCCTGCTCGCGCGCGCCCCGCAGCCGCCCGTCGCCTGCTAGCGCACGCCCCGCAGCCGCTCGTAGCCTGCTCGCGCACGCCCCGCAGCCGCCCGTCGCCTGCTCGCGCACGTCCCGCAGGCCCGCAGCCCGCTGTCGCAGCGGCCGCCCGCCCGCAGCCGCCCGTCGCCTGCTCGCGCACGCCCCGCAGCCGCCCGTCGCCTGCTAGCGCACGCCCCGCTGCCCGCAGCCGCTCGTACGCCGCTGCTTCCGCTGCTGCTTGCGCACTGCTGCCTCCCGAGCGCCGCCGCTGCCTGTGCGCCGCCGCTGCCCGTGCGCCGTCGCTGCTCCTACGCTGCCGCTGCCCGTGCGCTGCCGCTGCCCGTGCACCGCCGTTCCCAGTGCGCCGCTGCCGCCCGTGCGCTTCTGCAGCCGCCGCCCGCGAGGCACTCGCTCTCACTGTTGTTTATCTTTTAGCTACCTACTACTGCCGCTCGTGTGCCACTACGGACAGTCGACCCCGCCCGCGCCTTGCCTAGCGGCCCCGCCGGCCCCGTTGACCCTCCGCACACCTTTCCAGCGGCCTGCTTCCTACTACTACTGTTCCTACTGCTACTGTCACTATGGCTAGCCCGCCAGTTCTAGCTTTCGATGCCGAGGGCCGTCCAGTGAAGTTCGAAACCTGGCTAGATGACCTGCACCTGTTCCTACAGCTCACTGCCAAGGAAGATATCTCACTGTACGACCACGCCCTAGGCCATGCCACTGCCCCTGACTCGACTGCTGACAGCACTCTGCGTTCCCAGTGGCAGACCCGTGATGCCCACGCTCGCTTTGCTATTCGCAACTCCCTGCCGCTAGACGAGCGCGAGCACTTCGGCCAGTGCAAGACTGCTAAGGACCTCTACACCGCTGTAGTTGCCCGCTACTCCTCACCCGCTTCTGCCACGCTAGGCCGCCTCACTCTCCCCTACCTGTTCCCCGACCTAGCCTCCTTTCACACTGTCGCAGACCTCATCACCCACCTTAAGACTAGTGAGGCTCGCTTTCGCGCTGCTATGCCTGCCGAGTTTCTCACTAGCAACCCCCCCCCGCTCTGGATCACTCTCTACCACATCGTCACCCGCCTTCCTGACTCTCTGCGCGCAGTCAGGGACCACTTCCTCTCTCGCTCCCCCACTGAGCTCACTGTTGCCCTCCTCGAGAAGGAACTGCTTGCAGCTGAGGCGAGCATCGTCGCTGTAGGCACCTCTCGTGGCGACCCCCGCACCCCGTTCTTTGAGGGGTGTTCCCCTTCCCCCCTCCTCCCCTCTGTCGCCTCTGCTGCTGCTGTCGACCTTCTTGGTGCTGAGAAGGTCGGGACCGCGTCTGCTTCGAGTGGGCGCCGCAGGAACAAGGGGGGCAGGGGTGGGGGTGGCGGCGGAGGAGGTGGGGGTGGAGGCGGTGGGAGTGGAGGCGCGGCTGGGGAGACTAGTGGCGGCAGTGGGGGAGGAGACAGCAGCGGTGGGAGTGGTGGTGGAGGCGGCAGCGGAGGCGGAGGTGGTCGTGGCGGCGGCAGGGGTGGAGGTGGCCGGGGCGGCGGCGGTGGGGGTGGTGGTCGTGGAGGCACTGGCGGAGGGCAGAGTCAGCAGCCCGCCCCGACGCTTCAGGCCGCCCGTGAGTGGTATGCGCAGCGTAGCTTTACCTGCACGTACGTCATTCGCACAGGTGACCGCAGCGGCCAGCAGTGTGGGAGGCCGCACCCCACGCAGCGCTGCTTCGCGCGCCTTAACGACGCAGCGCTGCTTCGCACTCAGTTTCCTGCTGCCACTGAGCTGCCGCGCTGGGCTGATCTGGAAAAGAGGGGTGTTGATATTTGGGCTTTAGACTTTGATGCTATTCTCACTGCCATGTATGCGATGTCTATTAGTGGAGAGGGTGCTCAGTACTTGCGTGTTCCGCCCAACCCGGGCATTCAGGCCAGTCCGGCTGCCGCTCTAGGTGCTAGTGCGTCTCCTCCCACAGGTCCTGGTGGGGCTGCAGCCCTAGGTGCTCGTGCGTCCGTGCCCCCTGGTACTGAGTCGACTGCAGCACTGCACACCTTCACCCTGGACTCAGGTGCTTCTCGCTCTTTCTTTCGTGACCGCACTGTCCTTGAGCCACTCGCTCGGCCAGTTGCTGTCTCCCTTGCTGACCCCTCTGGGGGTCCGGTCATTGCGACCTCCTCCACTGTCCTTCCTTGTCCGGCGGTCCCGTCCGGCACGCTGTCAGGTCTCTACCTCCCCTCGTTCTCTACGAACTTGGTGGCAGGTAGTGCGCTCCAGGACGGGGGTGTTCACCAGTTCACCCCTGCCTACGAGCGCGTGACACACTGCACGTGTGCTCGGACGGGTCGCCACCTGGCTACCTTCACTCGGGAGCCGGGGTCGGACCTTTACACACTGACCACTGAGTCCCCTCAGGTAGCTGCGTCCGCGTCCGGTCTGCGTCAGGTCAGCTGTCCGCCCCCTGCTCGTGTCGCTCTCTGGCGCATGAGACTGTCCTTTGGCACCACCGCCTTGGTCACCCGTCTGTGCAGCGCCTTCGGGCCATGCACAAACGGGACCTTGTTGCTGGTCTTCCCAGGGTGCTCCCTCCCCTTCCAGCCTCGCCTGCTCCTCCCTGTCTTCCCTGTGTCGAGGGGCGGCAGCGCGCCGCTCCTCACTCCTCCTCCTTTCCCCCGACGACTGCTCCTTTGCAGACGCTCCACATGGACGTGTGGGGCCCAGCCCGCGTCCGTGGCCAGGGTCAGGAGAGGTACTTCCTGATTGTTGTTGACGACTTCTCGCGCTACACCACGGTCTTCCCCTTGCGCGCCAAGGGTGACGTCCCTGATGTCTTGATCCCTTGGATCCGCAGATCTCGTCTCCAGCTCAGTGAGCGTTTCCGCTTCGACTTCCCTGTCCTGCGTCTGCACTCTGACAGAGGTGGAGAGTTTTCCTCTGGCCTCTTGGAGGCCTTCTGTCAGCAGGAGGGCATTGAGCAGTCGTTCACGCTTCCGGCCTCTCCACAGCAGAATGGGGTTGCTGAGCGCCGCATTGGCTTGGTCATGGAGGTCGCTCGTACCTCCTTGGTTCATGCGGCTGCCCCCCACTTTCTGTGGTCGTTTGCAGTCCGATACGCTGCGCATCAGCTCAACCTCTGGCCCCGTGTCTCCTTGCCCGAGACTTCTCCGACACTGCGTTGGATGGGAGAGGCTGGCGATGCGTCGCGTTTTCGGGTCTGGGGATCCCGAGCTTTTGTCCGCGACACGTCCGCGGACAAGCTCTCCCGTCGCGCTGTCCCCTGCGTCTTCCTTGGCTTTGTCCCGGACGCCCCTGGTTGGCAGTTCTACCACCCCACCTCGCGGCGTGTCCTGGCCTCTCAGGACGTCACTTTTGACGAGTCCGTCCCCTACTACCGCCTCTTCCCCTACCGCACTGCCCCGCTCCCCCCCCCACCTCTCTTCCTCGCTCCAGGTGCTGAGGTACCAGACCCCCTCCCCCCTCAGGGTGCCGCTCCCTCAGGTGTGTCCCAGGTAGACCCGGGTGAGCCTGTCGAGGTAGCTGTTGACTCTCGTCCTGCGTCTAGGGGTGCTGAGCCTGGGGGTGCTGAGTCTGGGGGTGCTGAGTCTGGGGGTGCGGAGCCTAGGGGTGCTGAGCCAGGAGGTGCGGAGCCTGGAGGTGCGGAGCCTGGAGGTGCTGAGCCTGGGGGTGCTGGGTCTGAGGGTGCTGCGTCTGGGGGTGCTGAGCCTGAGCGTGCTACACCTGGAGGAGCCCTCTCCTCCCAGCAGCTGCAGGAGAGGTACCTCGAGTACTGCCGCCTCCGGAGAGGTGCTGCTGGAGCTCGTCCCGGTACTTCCCCTCCTACCCAGGAGCTCCCCCCCATTCAGCAGATCCGCGAGTGGTACACACGGCGCTGCAGTCTTCGGAGTGGTGCTCCTGGTGCTGCGGACCCTGGGGGTGGCGCTGCTGCTGGTGCTGAGGACCCGGACGTGGGAGCTGCTGCTGGTGCTGCGGACCCGCCTGGTGGAGCTACTGCTGGTGCTGAGGACTCGGACGTTGGAGCTGCTGCTGGAGCTGAGGACCCGGGTGGTGGCGCTGCTGCTGGTGCTGAGGACCCGGACGGTGGAGCTGCTGCTGGTACTGAGGACTCGGACGGTGGAGCTGCTGCTGGTGCTGAGGACCCGGCCGGTGGAGCTGCTGCTGGTGCTGTGGACCCGGCCGCTGGAGTCTCCTCTGCTTCTGGAGACGCTGCGCGGCCGCGACCGTACTTCGTACCGCTCCTTCAGCAGGTTCTTGGGCAGGCTCCTCCTCCTTGTCCTCCTCCCTCCGTAGAGTGTCCTCCGCCTGTCCAGCCGCAGTCACAGTTACCGCCTACTGTCAACAGGACTAGGCAAGAATGATTGAAAGGAGAGAGGTTTCACTAGCAGCAGTTGGGGTACATATAGCAAACCCTAACTGGGTTGTACTCGCTATAGAGCACCCCACTACAGGCTAGACAATAATAACATTCTGACACACCCCCATAGCCAAAGTGGGGTGTAATCAGTACAATGAGCAGGCATAGCAATAGTTCACAATTATAAGCAAAGCTAGAGGTGATCATAGAGGGCAAGTGAGGAGGAGGAGAAACTGTGAGGGCGAGAAGATGAAAGGCGCCGACTGAAGCTGCAGACACACGGGCAACAGGAGCGGCGCGCACAGTGGCTACCGAGCGCACGAGGGCACCGGACTACGGGAGTATCTGGCTCCGCGGCTACGACGAGCACACACAGGAGCAACGGACCCACAGGCGACTGGCGAAGCAGGCTCGCTGGGCTACCGA